TCACCAAGAAGTCCAGGTATCTTTGGTATCTTTGCATAACAGACCTCTAATGAAAAATGATGCAATGACATCATTGGGCATAATCTTTAATGAAGCGAGCAAAGGTTCTTTGTTGATCAAGCCCATATGCTGCTGATTAATCACCATGCATTTAACATGGATTTTTACTTATTAATAATTCACATTAAACAGTGAAGAATTTCCTTCTGCTTCATTTAAGATGTGAGAAATGTTCCCCTGTCATATACAGTAACATCTGTAGCGTACACAGGCACAAAGTACCGCGTGACTGTAGTACGAATGCATAAAGACTGTGACTGATGAGAGCAAACCTCCATAAAGAATGACTGGTGATTTGACTTTGGTCATGAGATACACAGCAACTCCAAATACTGTGGAATGCCAAATTCACAAGTCTGATTCTGATTCAAGTCAAAAGTCCCAGAACATTGTGTTCCCAGAACAAAAATTCCGGATATTTGTCTGCACTTCCACTAGAGAGCATGGCAGTCAACCAGACTTCCCAGGATAGTAACATGAAAGATGTTTGGAATAATTTCATATGCAGACTAGTTTATTCATGCACAGCCATTTGTTATAACACTCACCTGAAAATGCAAAACAAATTAGAAACTAAGAAGCTATTTTATATACTTATATTTAGAATTTGCATCAATCATACTTGCCTCTTCCAGCCTATTAGAAGTGTTAATCAACAAAATCTCCAGACTGAAAATTAACTAATGGTATTTTCCATGCATGCCATGTCATAGCTTTCTGACAAGTAACTCAATTACAAATATACTGTAGGAATGAAAATAGTCTTCTGCCTTAAAAGGTTTAAACACAAGTCCTGTCATTGATTAAAGGAAAGGGAAGATTTGCTTTAATTCTCCCTATGTTACTAACTTCTTCAGCATACTCAAGTTTCCTACTACCACAAAACTTTAAATTTGGGAGTTTTGACCCAAAAACTAGCTATTCAAGTAAGATGCATGGTATTTCTGTGCTGTTCTGCATCAACTGGTTTTATAGTTGCTATTCAGATAGTGGTTTATTCTATAAAAACTGTACATTATGAAAAGCATAATGTAATTTGAATACAAAGTAACTGAAGAAGTTACTCCTTAAAATGAAAAATTGCTAAAAAACCCCATGAATTGCTACACATTTATAGCTAATACCATACACTTTAGAGGCACAAGATAAAGAGATATGCTTCCAGATTTTAAAATATTTACTGTTTCAGCAAAGAAATAATTATTATATACATAATATAGAATGCCTTGTGTGTAATGATAGAATCTCAAACCTTCAAAGCTGAGAGAGAAGAGAGATTGATCGATTCTGCCTAAATTGACGGGAAAATGCATTAGATAGCTTTTTAAAGGATCTTTCCTCCATTAGGATTTGGGAGGAAAGGTCAGGAAGCTGTGTTGTGCTTGCAAAACTGGTGGTGAAGTTACCGGATATAAACTACACTATGACTCAAAACCTCCGGCCTTCTGACATTTAAAAGTAATGATATTTTGTACAAAATTACAACAAAAGTTTGCTTTCTTAATGACAGTCCTAAAGAGGACAGGTATCTTGTATTTTCGTATGTCTAGGAGCTTAAATCATATCCCTTTTCACAGATGCATGAATATCAGGGATAATGAGGTTATATTGACTAACAATATTAACTACAACTACTGCTGTTTTAAGCTGGCACACCTCACATTCAGAAATTTCACACCACAGCTCAATATGAATAACTAACAAGCGTTTTTTAGCTCATATAGAAATGCTAGAGGAGCATAGTTTCACTTCAGGTTACTAATCTGAACACTGGAGTACTCTCCAGTCATACTTCTCCATTTAATTTAATTAACTATGCTTGCTGATCAATAGCCCCAGGATTCATTTTCCTCTACTCAGTGGAGAAAGAGGTGGAAACATCCATTCCAAATGTGATGCAGACCAGGAATCTTGCTTGTGTGTTCTGAATTTGTATTTTTCTTCTGTATACAAAAGGCACCTAAGGGTACTAGTCAAATGACTTAGTTTAGTGAGATGGCTAAAACTGGGCCATCTCCTTTGAGCTTCTATGAGCTTACTACGCTCTTCATAGCTCTCATGTCTAAAGTGTATATGGAGAACAAAAGCAGTTGCATAAAAAAGGCAGTCCAACAAACTTTCTGTCTTTAAACTTAATATTACACTCACACACTTGCCATGGCCACTGAGCTGACACACTTCCAAATGAAGATGACGGTGGATATGAGGTTTCAGTAAGACAGAAGACAGGAATTTAAAAAAAGCTCTTTTCCTTGCCCCTCCTGATCAACCATCCCATCCCATCCTGCTTGATATATGTTAATATCAGGTTCCTTGGAGGCAAAAAAAATAATTTGAATTTCAAATTACTAAAAAAACTTGAACTTCAAATTTCTAATTCCTTGAACTTAAAGAAACATTAGTAAGTAAGAGAAAGAATCCATTTAACTTAATTTTAGATGTCTAAAATTAAAGCAATCAATTTAAACTAGTCATCGACGGTTCCTTCAACAATTAATGCTAGAAAAGGACAATTCACCTGTCTTTGACATCTATCTGAAGATGAAGTGAACCACCCAAGATAATAGGTGTTTTCTTTTTAATGATGATTTAGGGAAGTTAGACAAATAATTTAACAAAAACCTAATTTTAATGTGAATTCCACTGTAAGTTTTTAAGGCTGAAGTTAAACAGCATGAATCCCACTCCAAAAAAATTGTTCATAATACAATCAACCCTTTCCCCAAATTAAGTCTTCATTCCCATGTAATAAGTAAGCTGCACAAAGAATTGGCTAAAGACTATGTGACGGAGGCTACCAGTACAGACACAGGAGAGTAGGAAGCCAACTTTGGCTCAGATCATCAGCAAAATGCCTTCTCCTTTTCTTTTCTTCAACACTCAACTTCCTTTCATTCTGACTTCGCATGATATCTAATTCCTATGATACAAAACTTTTGCAGGTATCTAAAGACTTTGACCCTTTTATAGCAATGATCCAAAAATAAGCGTGGACAACTCAAATGGAAAATTTTGAACAGTGGATGTTAATCTGCTGGATCTAATGTTTTCCAACATAACATCAAAATTATTTTAAATTTCATTCCCCTGCACTTAATGGTTGAAATAGGCTAATTGCAAAGATAGTACATTAGGCATGTCCCACTTATTTTTACAAGTGTTTCAGGGGAGCAAAACTACTGCCAGCTTAGAAGAAAAATATTGAGAATTATGAGTAATTTATGAATCTGTTAATTTCTTCCTCATATTTCTACTGAATGAGGTTTGCTGTGTAACACATTTGTTCACCATGAAGTACTACCTGAATTTAGAGAAAATCAAAGCAAGCAAGTACAATGTGTCTAATCTCTGAGGTATGGATTCTGTGAACAGCATCAGAAAAGGAAAGCATCTGAATTCTACTTACACCTCACTTTTGGGGTGTAGAGTGAAGCTGAGCTGGAGCTTCCATTGCAGACACTTGGGTTTGTACACTAAATAGGCTAATCCTCTACCCAAGGTGCTCTGCTACTCATTAGAATGGAAGAGATTGAATGACAGCAAGGATTTGATCCTGGGTTTTCCCCTTTCCAGCCTCACATGAGGTTACTGGTTGCCCTGGTTCTGGTATTTGTGACCAGACATTCTGAAGCCAACATTTCTGACAAAATCTCTTCAACACAGAGATATTTATGGGAAAAAAAAACCTATTTTGTTCAATTTGCCAAAGATACTGTGGCAGGGCTTAGTTGAGAAAATTCAGAATCTAGAATCTATAGATATTTTGGTATGACTAAAGCCCTCTGTAAGAGACAAATACTGAAAAGCTAGGACACAATGAAATGTAGCATTTAAACCCATGAATTGAAAGAACTTTAAACATTTGAATAACTTTAAATATATTTACAGTTCCACTGTACTGTTCTGCTGAATTGGGGATTACTGCACCTGTCAGGTTATAATTTCACCAATCTGAAACATGACTTTGAATACCCTCGTGAACTTTCCTCAACCAAAAAAAATGAGGTGGAGCTAGTTCATATACAGAGGCCAGTTTCTGAGTTACCCTAACATCCCTTCCCACTGCATGAACAGACCAAAAAGCCTTGAGCTGAACTTCTCAGATAGTGAGCCTGTCTAGAAGTGTTCTGAAGTACTAAATGATGACATCCAGACTTTTATCGGACTGACTTTCTCCATAGGAATAATTTTTTTATAGCTCCTAATTCTTCTTGAGTCTTATAACACTTAAGAGTCAAATTTTTGAAAGTTCAGACATTTGTAGATGTAATCATAGACTACCAAGCTAATCCTACAGCCATTATAGCTGGCAGAAGTTTTCTCATCAAGTTAAATGAAGACAGTAACCAATCTGTGTATCCAAAAAAGCACTAAACAGAGAATAGATTATTATCGAGGATGAAAGAGATACTTGATTATTGATAATGCAAATGATTTAAACTATTTTTGAACCAGACACATCAAAATTACTATATAAATACTTGTTTTAAATCTAGTAATTTATCATATTCATGAAAACAGAAAACTAAAAGCAGGTAGGCAGGGAAATAAATACATAGATTGAAAGAAAGAAAAACAGAGCTTTTATGAAAGAAAATTCTTGAGATAAAAAATCTAGCAATATTTCTGCTGTAATAAATTATTGGCATCTAGATTACACCAATTCTAGCCAGCAATGAGATGATGGCATGTGTTCAAGTTCTCCTTGCCACAAATACATTAATCTGTCATCTACTCATGGGAAGTTTGCTTTCTGTTTTTGATGCACAACTGCAACAATATTGTCATCTTAGGCTATGAATGAAAGACAGTTGATATGTTCATAACATTTTTCATAAATTCATATGTTGTGGTCATCTACTTTCAATAATTTCAGGTTGTATTTTGGCACTAAATGAAAGAGGGGGTGCGATACAATTGAAGTTCCACTGTGAACTCACCTGATTCTGCCCCGAGGGCGTTCAGATTGCTCTGACATAAAACTTGTGCTGCTGAGGCGTGAGGCACTGCTGGTTCGGGAAATGGCTGACACATCACTGACATCACTATCTGATGATTTGGCAGAGACGTTATCACAACTTCTGTACTGATCTGTTTGTATATTATACTAGAGATCAAGAAAAGAAAGGGTGAGGAGTCTCATCAAAACATAACACATATATTGAGACAACAAATGACCTAAGTATGACAATTGTCTCTAACTGCTTTTAGACCTAACAAAACTGTATGAAATTCAGAGAAACACCTATATTAAATAATAACTTTATGTCTAGTGAAGAAATCAAACACGGTGTTTACGGACTGAATAAGACACTTGAAATAAATTACAGCATTGGAATTAAAATAGGCTGCTGGTTCTTTAGTACAGTGGAACTATAATAACGAAATATTTATGTAGTTGACAGACGTCTTCTCAAGCACATTCATATCATCTATTTGGCTACAGATTCTTTTTTCAATTTTTCAAATATTAAAAATATGCTATGAAATATCTGCAGTTAGTTTGGAACTGGAGAACTGTGTATGCGTCTGAATCGAATGTATTGCTACATGAAGCTGATATTAGGGATTGATTTCAATATCTAAGCTCTATCAGAAATGGAAAAAAGTACATTTTCTACCTCAAAATATCTCTTTGTATGGTGATACTAGAGGACTAGTCAGGCAGAAAGGCTAACTCAGGAAAAATAGCATTTGTTTTCAGGCAGATCAGTTCCATGATCTAGCTGTTTTTACATGTGCATAAGCGTGAGAACTAGCAATAGACCCAGAAGGAGGAATATGTGGACAGGAGTAGAAGTTATTTCCCTTTTGCTAACAGCAGAAGCTTCAATTAGTTAAAACCAACCGTGAAAGCACACCACCTATTACATAATCCTTGTATTACTCAGATCATCAGTCAGACATATAAAAAAGGAAGTGTCAATCCTAGCAATGTCACACTTACCTAAATCTTCAGTCACACAGATACGAGGATCAAACAGTTGTCAGATTCACAAAATTAAAACCCACTGCCATTAGAGAGCAAGGTACCCTTGGCTGGGAAGTGACTGAACCAGTGGCATACTTCCCAGGGTATACTATGGGAAAACTATTAAAATGTGGGAATACTAGGCAGTTTTTGACATGACACTCTGGATCTGTGCTCTGTAAAATTCTAAGTTATAGAAGTTTATTTATGACTTATAAAGCTGTGATAGTTTGTGAATATCCCCACCTCAACTATGCACTGTGTTGCAGGCTGAGTCAGCTGGTGAATGTCACAACCTAACTTTAAAAAGCCTGGCAAACACAAGCTCAAGTTTGAACAGACGAATGTTATCAGTCCTCCTGTCCTCAAGCCAGGTTTATCTTCTGTTGCTCTGATGCCTTTCAGCAACTATGTTTGAGGTCTCCACAGCACACTTGGAAATCTCTTGGTAAAACATCTAAGATAATAAGTTAAGTCTAAGATAAGAAGTTAATGGGAGTAGAGAAGGCGGGGAAATAAAGAGGCTACTAAGCACTGCCTGTAAATATAGAAATCTGTAGAAGAAATGGAGGTTATACAAATTTAGTGTCTCAGCATGTGTTTCAGGGTTACTCAGCTCCTGGATGGCATACACCAAGATTAAAAACACAAACCAATTTAGGAATAAAAACTGAGGGTTTGACCTGAGGAGCATGCATTGAGGAAACTCTTAGCAACACCCTGTGAGGGGCTTGCACTGGCTGACTGAATAAAGACATCTGCGGGAGAGAAAGCTCTGCTTTACTGAAAGCAAATTTTCAGTTTCAAATACTAAATGAAACTCTGCAGAAGATTTCAGAAGAGCTTGGAGCATTATGACTTTGAGCTCAAACAACATGTCTAACAGGCATTGACATGGAAACAGATGCGGTGGATCTCTGATTTAATAAAGTGGATAACACAGAGGAATCAATAACTCCAATATTTAAAAATATTTTCAACTACAGCAAAGATTTATTTGGAGATTCTCTTTCTAAGTGACTTGGTGTGACTTATCTAAATATAAATGACCAATGGGGTTAAGGTGAGACAATATTGATACGTTTATTCAGATCACCTTTTGGAAATGGCTTCTAGAGTCTGATAAATAATTTTGTGGTTTCCTCTCTTTCAGACTGAAAAATAAACCCCTCTGAAATGGAAATATAAAGCACGCTAATTTTTATTAGCTCTATTTCATAATAATGGAACACTTAATTTTCTTTAGATGATGTATTTTTCTTCTAAAGTCTAAAAAAATAATTCAAAGCAAGAATAAAAGCTATGAAAACTTTTTACTTAGGCTAAAAAACAAATGTTCAGAGGTTGGAAAACTGAATGGTTAATATTTTCCAGTTTAAGTTAAACTGCCCCACTCCTGAGCTGGCCTTGGTATTTTATGCAAAATTCACACACAATTCTTAATGAATCCTTTAAGCTTTCCTAACACAAGCCACCTAAAAATATGAAAAGCACCTGAACACATGGAATGTTCTGGCTTTCTATTGAGCTAAATAGAATTGCAATCTGCAAAAGAAATTCTGATCCTATTAAATAATTGAATTTTTGTTGATTTCAGTGAAATAGGTGTTTCACCCTTCCTATACATTTAAACTATATCTGGAAATGATTCGTTTGTAGGTGAAGCCTTAAAAATACTTTGTTTAAAGTACAACCATGCAATCTCTCTCAAATATCTGCTTTTTTATGCATGGTAACAAAGTGTCTCAGAAATATCTCCATGTTTTATTCTATTTGCTGAAGACAATTTGACTTCCCCTTTTTGTCACTGTGACGCCTAGTTACTTTTCTTACCCACCAAAAAGTCTGCATTGTCTTTGTGGCCCTTGGTTTGAGGGTGCATACAGCAAATCTGGAATGGTAGAAGAAGATTCATGTGATCCCTGAGCAAGCGTGACATGCTGCTGGAGAAGGCTGGCACAATCTGAGCTCTGCCATCGAGGGAACCATCAAGGCCAGACGCAGTGACTTCCTTCCTTTGTCCTGCTGGAAGCCTTTCCTCTTCTTAAGTGTTGAGGGAGGTACAGGATGCTGGCCTCTGTCCCAAGCCACACCTGAATCTGGCTGTTTGTTGAGCGCTCTATTTCTTACTCCACCGCAGAATAACAAAGTGGGACACAGTGGGCTATATATGCTATGTGGGGCAGCGGAAGACCCTCTGTTTCACTCGTACTGAATTTGCTCCACCTTTCATGTGCTACATACATGGGCTGGGAAAGATGGAGAGGAGAGAGAGGAAGCATAAAGCATGGTTGTCCAGCTTACTGGTTAGGATACCGGGAGAAAAGTCAGAAGTCCTAGCTTGTGTATCAGTGACTGTTTAGGGATTCAGCCTCACTGAATGACTGTTCAGTATCAACATGAAACCATATACTGCTGCAGGGTCTTCAGCCCAGGTATCATCCCCCATAAGTGGGGGCTATGTCTTGCTCCTCACTCTGTCTTGCTCCCTATAGTCCAGCAGTCTGTATCAAATGGAATTGCTTTGTAAATATCAGACTGGCTTAAGAGCCAGTATTTCGTACGTTAGCAAACAGAGAATATTATGGTGAGATGCGAGATAAAGAAAAAACTGAATCCATGTCTTCTACTTGCCTTGATATTCCAGTCACAGAGTTACTGCATAAAACATGGAGCTTCTTTTCCTAAATGAGATTTTCATGGCATGGTTGAGCTTTTACTACTATATGCCAAGGCTGTGATTCCCAAGAAACCAAGAACACTTGCCTTCACAGAAATAGAGATTAGCAAAAAAGTGGTGATGCTGAAAGTTAATGCTGAGTGCTACAGTGTTTACATTTTACTACTACTTATTTCGGATTTAGCTCTTCCTTCCTATAGCTGCTGCTTCTACTGAATTCACTGTCCTCTACATACAACTTTTCCTATTTATTCCTCACTTACTGCTTTTCAGTACAATCTGATAATCAGTCATCTCAACTAATAGGAACAAAATGTAAGCAATTTTTAAGTTAACCTTTTTTTCCCTCAAATATAGACAGAAATAAATAGTCCTCTTCCACAAAGCAGTGATCATTAAAAGAAGCATATTTTACTGTTGCAATATACCTGGACTTACCATTCAGAAGAAAAATGTCCTGAGCTAAGATGCACTTATTATAGAAGCACAGAATCATAGAATGGTCTGGGTTGGAAGGGACCTCAAAGATCATCTAGTTCCAACTGCATAAAAGTAATGCCTGCAGGTTTCCAACTGGGCTCAAAAATAATAAGATACAGGCCTGGTCATCTAGAAAACTACTGCTCTTTGTAACTCTGCATGTATTTCTAAGAAATTTCCCTGCCATGTCCTATTTAAATATTGCATAATTTTGATGCTTCAAAATAAAGTGAATTTCAGTGCAAACACTTCTCTTACAACTCTACGTCTTACGGAGTTAAAGCTTATGTCACATTTCCATGCTGAGGGGCACAATTTATCACATTAGGAGAGTTGCTGAAGTATGCAGCAACTTTGATAGTAATTACTAAAGAGCAGGTCTGGGTTTTTAAACATTAACAGCAGCTAGCTTCAAATGCCCAAACTATCTGCACTGTCTGCTTCTGCATTACAAAGACAAGTTTTTTTCAGCAGAGCTATCTGAAATATAAACAGCTGAAATGCAGTTCGTCCATTCACTTTACCATCGGTGGAGTTGCTGCTGCTCCTACGCCAGCAAAAGGAGAAAAAAGGGGTATGATGAACTGCAGATGTGTTAACGTAAATGGAAAGAGCATAGACGTAAATCAAAAGAGTGTACTTCATTAATACTTTTACAGTTCCTCAATGACTAACAATGACAGCAATTTTACTGATTATAAGGCACATTTTAGAAGTCATTTAATAGTCCACTATAATTATATTATCTTCCATATTAATAAGTATTTGTATTTCTAGATTTATTTGCCAAACCCATGGAGAATACAACAGTTCAGAGCTTTGAAAACTGAAGGAGCATCCCCTTCCTTTGACTACAAAAAAGCCTCAGGTGACTGGCCTCTGAAAATATGTGCCTCATTAAGTGCTTAAAATGAGGAAATTGAATAAGAAAATTAAATTGGGATCGAAATGAGGATATTAGAATGAGAAAAGAGAAATCCAGATCAGAAACATTAAAGGCTAGATTCATCCAGGGGCTTATGCAAGTCTGGAGATCACAGCTATCTTTTCAGGCACCTTACTCTAACACGGAATTTTGTCAGGAAACACTGAACCATGCACAAAGCACCTTGAGTGTTATGACTGTTCACACAGGGCTCCTCTGAATGCCAGCAGAGTTCACAGCCCAACAGTCACACCTTGGTGTGTCCAGGCCTCATCTCTGACTCCTACCAGCATCTGGGTCTGTGTCTTAGGAGCAGCTCACGTGATGGATGGTCCAGAGCCCAGTAAGCACCAGTGATTTTAAGTAACTTCCCATAATTGTATCCAACTCAACTATTGCAAACATCACTCAATTTCCTAACAGGGAACCGTGAAAATGAGCAAGTCAAACCATGGGAAAACTGCAGTGAAGCTCACGAGTCAAATGAATGGACCTCACTGAATTTTGTGAAATCCTACCCGTACTGGAGCGACTGTCACATCAATATGATATATAGTGATTATTTTTTTTCTTAAAGGTGGATCAAGGGGGATCAAAAGAAGATACTAATCACATCAATGTCCAACAGCATTTTCTACACATAGCCCTAAGTGCCTTGCCCAGCATTCCATAAAACAACATAATCAGCCTCCTGTCATCCTGAGTTACCTATCTAGCCCTTCCTAGTAGACATTATCAAGTTAAATCCACAGAGTGCCACTGAACTAAAGCCATGATTACACTTTCATGATAAATGTTTTCCAATCACATACAGTTTTAACTGAGTCGGTAGTGCATCTAAATATACAGTGATGTCCTTTTAAGTACGTACTACAGAGCTCTCTAATCAGTAATTCTCTTGAATAAACAGACCTTCTAAAAAAATGTGTTGCACATTCTCTGGAAAGGTGCACCGTGTTTGTATTCTGTGTGTGGCATCTGGAATAAAAAACTTAACTGTATTTTAAATTAAGAGTCTTATTAAGATATACTGTCATTTATATCTATGCAAATCCAGAATTATACTACCAAAAGTGTTTTGATTCTTTCAAACACTGAAAGAGCACAAATATGTGCATACTAGTACAGCGTTACTAATATGCAAGAAAGAAGGCAGAGAGATGTTGACAGCTGTTTTTCAAACCCTTTTGACAATTCCACAGAGGTTTTTTGTTTGTTTTGTTTGTTGGGTGTTTTTTTTTCCATTTAGGTTTTTAGAATTCAATTGCTTCACATAAATTACGGAGTTTTTCCACTGGAACTGAAGGAAATAAGGATATGGACTCTGTGAAGGTCTCAAAACAAATACAGTGGAACAGCCATCAAGACCCGTACAAATGTTGTAAAGCAGACAGTTACCTATTTAAAACCCATTGACAGATGTTTAAAACACAAATGTTTAGAAATGTTTACAAACTAACTGCATGCTGCATGCTTGAAACAATAGTGCTTGCTTACTGAGACTAGAAGACTACGAAACTGAGTGGGAGAAATTACAAAAATGGAACAAATGCATCAGAAATGTATTGGAAATTGCCAAGGCCATGTTACAATATCTCTGAAAAAAAGCCTTGTTTTAATATAAGAGAAAATATACTTAAATTTAAGGAATTAATTTTGCATACACATAATTAACTATTGCAAAGGAGATCTAGTCCATACTGAAGGAAAATTTTTGAAAGGTTTAGAGAATTTTATATGTAATAAACCAAACATATTTGCAAATGCTAAAATAGTGGATGAATCAACTTCATGTGAGCTGACTGCTCTGAAAAAGAGAAGTATCTTCTCAATGTGCAGCACAGAATAATTTCTTTACTAAATAGAAATACTTATTTTCTGAAGCAGTGGGCAAATACCGCTACTTGGGAAAGAAAGAAGCATTTCTGTTAAAGAGGGACAAACTCTGCTTGCAACTGCCATTTCTTTAACAGCTATTTAATATTTCTTTCTCACTATTCCAAAATGGCTATTAGACCACTGAACATTTTTTCTTTTTTACTTAAAGTAAGTCTTGACCCTGTAGCTTTCAAAGACTTTTGACAGAGTTTGGCAGCAGAAATTAGGTATTTCTGCCTCAAGTACCACAAGGTTTGCTTTAGTAACATTTTTAAAGCGATGACTATCACCACAGTAAACAGCTACATCACTGTACATCACTCAATACAATACAGAGTGTCAGAATGTGCTAATATAATTTGTTCTCAGCACTTAAAAATGTATTATAGGTAGGGCAAACCTATCTAGGACTTCACCAGTATAATGTAGAAAGTACTTGATAAGTTAAAGATTTTTGGATTTGCAGTTGAGGACAACTAATTCATTCTCATTACTACTGTTTTAGCATAGAAAGGAGTACATGTCTGTCAGAACACTGGGTACTCCAAAAATATTTCCACATATATTTAAAAACTAAAAACAATACTAGAAAATTCTAGGTACTAGAGGATAAGAGAAATTCATAACACTGCAGGGTGATGTTTTCCAACAAGTAGTTAACCATACATTGGATCTACATTAACCCAATAATCAAAATATATTGAAGAGCAAAATTAATGCTTATGACAAATATTAAAAGAGAGGCAGGATTAAAAAATATGTTTCATAATGAAAAAATATGAACATTTGAATCAGTCCATAAACACTGTTAATCCAAATCACAAAACTGGCCTTTGACTATGAATAAAGGTATACGTTTGGTCATCCTGGCCAAAGTCCTCAGATCGCACAGTATCTTTTTCTCTTGCAAACTTTATGAACCCCATTTTTAATACGTTTTTAACATGTTAAGTGGTTGGGAAGTACCATAGAGACACACTGCATCTCACCCTCTTGTCCTGAGTTGACCTCTTGTGAAGGCAATGGCAAACCAAGTATCAAATGAGCTGTTCTAATTATAATACAAATTCTGACTTCTGACAGATGATCTCATTTGAAATCTCCATCTCAATTTTTGTTGTTCGTTTTTTTTTTTTTTTTAATAGCACTGATATCCCACAATTTGGCAATTGAAGACCCAAAGCCTTGTTTCTATTACTTCTCTTCCTTTTGAGAACTGTTTCATTTTTTATGTTCGTAGCAAGGTAGTCTCGAAACAGAAACGTACTTATTAAAGTCATCTCCATATTTAACTGTAACAATATCTTGAACAAATCTTTCAAATCTGCTAGATATTACAAGTTAGATGCCCAATTTCTTATTTACCCATTCCTAAGTAAATTTCTGATTTTGTTTCTGCTGAGTATCTCACTTATCTGTTATTTTAACCTGTGCCTCCAGCAGCACACATCAGTTCTGCGAAACACAGGGAAGTGAACCTGGAGGGGAAGGGACAGAAAGTGTGGTGCCTGCACTACAGCAATAATCCCCAGAAGCGTTCTGATGTTCACAGCTCTTGAGAGCTTGACAATGTTTTTCGGTTTCTGCATGGCACCGGTTCACAAATGGAATGTTCATCTCTTTAAAATACAAGTGTTTAGCTCTTACCGATGTGAAGAAAGTCTTTGAAATGTGGCGCTTCAAGCACAAAAGTCTAATTAATAAAAGCTGTGATTTTCTTCCAACTATTGTCATTCTGAGACCGTGTTTTTAACACACACAGTTGCTGTGTGTCTTTGAATTTTGTACAGTGGACTTTTACATTCATGCTGCCATCCCGTGGTCACTCGTTGAAAGCGTGTAACTCTCAATGGCAGTGGAAGAAGAGAATTGCAGGACTGCTTCCCCCACCACTGAGGTACCGCTGGTTTTGTCTCTGCCCCACAGTGCTGCATCTCTAAGAGGGAACACACAATACAACTAAACATTTCCTCTCCTGACTTCTGCAAATGCTCCCCCTCCAGTAGGTGTCACAAGGCAAAAAAAAAAAAAAAAGTCTTCAGCAGAAAGAGCTCAGCTCCAGCCCCTCACAGCTTGATTTGCGAGTGGCAGTGCAGATGTGCGAGACGTTTTCAGCAGTTTGCTCGGACGCCTATACAGTTGTAAACTTACAAGGTTGTGCGATATCATTTTAGCATTATCAAGAGGAAAAAAAACCAAGGTCCCTCTAGATAACTTCAATGTAATTTCATGTACATTTAATTATCAGAGGAAATCTTTATATCAGAGGAGTGCAAAGTAGTCAAGAAAGGAATGCATTTCAAGAAAAGAAATACTTTATCTGTGACATTATTAGGATGCAAAAAAATTTATACAAATATGAGAACAGCTGCATGGGATTGGATCTAATTCTGTTTAGCTCTCTCCATGCCAGACAACAGCGAGGGCCTAGAGAAGAACAAAAGAGTAGGGCCAACATACAATACTTCTATGGCCCACTTTTCCAGCCTCCAGGAATTTGCAGGCCAGCGACTTCCTACGCTAGAAGTGACATGGCTTTGTTTAACAGCTGTTGAGGGATCTTTCTTCCTTGAATTAGTTTTGAAGTGTTCCGCTTTTTGCAGATTCATTTTAGGTGACATCAAAGACTAAGTCTAATGCACCTCAAAAGGGGGAAAAACCAATGTTAAGTAGCTATTAGTCAAAGACATTTTTGTCAGGCTTTATAACACAGTGACCTTGAGGGTTATATAATATTTTAAATAAACAGAATTTATGCCGTTAATTTTCAAGCCAAAGTATCATTTCAATACTACTGACTTTACCTTGGTATATTGCTCACGCTCATGTTCTTGGCTAGAACCAGACCCTGATGTCTGATTATAACGGTGCACTTTCATTTTCATCTGTCTTGTTCGCTCCTCCACTACTAAGCTTGCTGCAAAAACACACAATGAAAATCAATTAAAAATAGCGAAAACTTTTTTGGGAAAAAAATGGTTTAGCTTAAATTTTAGCTTATTTCCATCTCAACAAAACAAAGAAATGTACAAACATGTAGAACAAGCAGGGTGTAAACACAGAACAAAGGAACACTAATGTCAAGAAATCAACCACTTCCATTGCGAGAGTCTTTACCTGAAAATGGGCAGACATCCCAATTTCCTATACATAATCAAGCTGGTGCAACAGATATGAAAAGAGTGAAAGAATTTAGGTGATAGGCTGAATTATAAACGTGTTAAGTATTCTGGATGCAGGGGACATAAATCCATGATCATCTAACCATGTATTTGCTTAAATGTAGAAAATATTACAGTAGCATTCTAAGAATTAATGCATTAAACAAGTATTAAAAACTATTTTTAAAGTAATTAAGTCCTACTAATATTTTAAAACATAACTGCTTACCATAGTTAAAGACTATTTGAGAGGAATAATTTCTCCATTCAACCAGAAAAGAGTAAAAAATACAGTAATTTTCTATTATTTCTTTTTCTTTTTACAGAAAGTCCTTTAAGAGCACTACTTTGCTTTCTAATGTTCATTTCTATTTCAAATAAATTATTTGTTCTTGTGTTTTCAACTTCCCTATAACAATGTTTGTTTTAAAAAAAGAAATCTAATCTTAAATTACCAAGAAGTTGTGGTCAATAAAGAGCATCTTCTTCAATTTGAAAAAGTTATGGCAATTAGTATTGGCTCTGCTTGCCACAGGAAAATGACTTTGCACTAATAGAAAGAGTGGTGTTAAAGCCCCTGGGATAAAGCTTCCTTAAATAAGTTAACCCTTGTGGTAGCAGATAGTTTTCGGAAGGAACGATATATTCTGCCATTCTTTAACTTGGTAGCACTATAAATGCAAAGGAATACCAGTAAAACCAATACCTTGAAAACTGGCACTTTGTAATAGTTCTAGAACTAGACCCAAATATTTGTCGGTAACTATTCTAAATCACAGGAGCACTCACTATGTTCATCGTTTGTTTTACGGGTTACAACATCCCAGAACAACTTCTAGCTGGAATTTTTTGTGTGGTTACAAATTCAAGACTGGTGTTTTATTTGGGAAAATCTCCGCAAAAATATTCTGCTGCTTTTGGGTCAACCATGGATTTATAGGACTCTCTCCAAAATGATTACTTTTAAAAGTCAAGATTTATGTAAACACTCCCTCCTCAGATAAGTGACAGGAGAGAGACATCAAATTAAAAACTGCACGGAATCAATTTTCAATCACAAAATACAGATAATTTTAAATTAGTGGAAAAGAAGTACTCTACAATGTTGTTTAAAGATCTGTATTGTGAATTAAGAGGTACCAAAGTTCTCGTATGTGGGTCTTACGCTGTTAGTTAACTGTGGGATTCTTTAGATATCCCTTTTTTTTGTCTGTGCTTTGCATACACAAAGATACAAAAAAAAAAAAAGCAGTACACTCGGGGTTGGGTATTTTAAACTGTGTGCTATTGCACAAATCACAATTGCACATGCATGTAACATCCATAATGTGCTTGTGGAAATGATGGAATGTCTGTGCACTGGCCAAGTATCAAAAAATATGCAAAGACATCACGGTGAAAAATACGTTGCTTTCACGTTCTCCTTCCACATATCTTATTTAAAAATAGGAAAACTAAATACAGCAAATTACATCAAAATTCTGCTGCACCTACAAATTTAAGGCACAAAATAAAGTTATCGTAATCTTCAATCTCCCACAGGCAGAGGGTCCAATCTAGGAAATTCCACACATGAAGAATGTCACACTGGGCCTAGTGATTATTCCAGATGACTAATTATGCTGGTAAATGTGTACCTTAATTGCAATGAGTCCAGTTCCACCATCAGATATGCAGGCACAGCTCCAATTACTTCAATGGAAGTTGCATGGAGGTATCTGAAGGCAAAATTGAGCACTTTAGGTGAAATTTTTAAAGATGGCCTCTTATTTTAAGGACAGATATGAAAGGATTAAGATATATCAATCAGTGACTGAAGCAAAAAACTCAGGTATCTTAATCCTATCATACATCCATGAAATAGCCTGAGCATATAAAATCAGAGGGAAAATTGAGACCCCTTTAAAAATTTAGCCTTATAAGTGTATGGTGCACAGATTAAAGTTACTCTAAAAATAACCCTTTGCTTGTGTGACTTTCACCCTGTCAACTGTACGTTATACTAAATAATTTATATGAAATAATGTTACTCTGTATTACTTACGATACCTGAGAAAGAATACTCTATTCTGTAATGAGCTGCTATTTTGCTGACTATACGTGAAAATTACTGCAGTCAAGGTTGGGTAAATGTTCAATCTTAACTCTGTAACTCTTGATTTTTGTTATGTTTAAATCCTTGACCTTAACAACACAGTTATGTTCTGGTTTTCATTATTAAATATCATTCTATAAAATGACATGAGAACAATTAATGAGGACTGTGAAGTCAATCTAAATTCTCTAATGAAGAAATTTGGTTTTGTGAATGGAATAAAATGTAATTTAGCACCAAATAGCTGTTAATGTATTTCTAAGCAAGCAACTTTGTGAAATGAAAGTCTGCTCTAGAAAATACAACTGTGTTCTTTCCAGCTTTGTTTACAACGCACATCTAATCATATGTTGTATCTAGCTCAATTCTGTGATGGAAAATTTCATCTGCCTCATTAGTAGCCTGGTATACTCTTTACATGTTAATCACAAGAAGCAGAAAAAAATCTAACACAGGAGTGAAAGCACATTAGCAGAAGCTGTAACAGCCATAGGTAACACCACCATACAATAACATTACTTTCTTGGAACACAGCTGGTTGCCACAGGTAACAAAAATTAGACATATAACAATACTTCAAGAACTTAACCTGCCTCTTAGAAAAATATGGATCTACTTTCTTTTAGGACATCAGTATTTATGGAGTGTTTTTCCTGGAGCTCTTGAGAGACATGACTACACAATTATTTACAGATCGAAGCACTGTAATCCCAAGACCTCTACATTCTACAGTGGTCCTAGAATTCAAAATATGGAGATTTACCATAAATGTCTCAAATTAGTTGTGTCGACATGTTAATCTCTTTGGTGTCAGAAGACACGCTTCAAAGAGCTAGAACTCCCATCTCTTCAAGAGCTGCTGATACAGATGTGAGATCAATCAGTATAAGAAGTAATTGAAAGAGCAGACTGCTTGGATAAAGGGTGCAAGTTTAGAGCTAAAGCTTTTACTACTACTAAACCATGTGAAGGTTGTACAACAATGATGTACGTAAACAATCAAGCCATGCAGGAGAGAAAAGACAGACACACAAATGGAATCAAAATGTTATACTTCAATTCCATTAATATATTTATAAACCGGTCTCACTCCTGCAATCCCAGGTGTTCTGGGTCTGGCTGGGATGACAGTAGTTTTCTTCACAGCAGCCCGCATGGTGCTGAGCTTTAGATTTGTAACTAAAATAGTGTTGATGACGCACTGATGTTTTAGCAATTGCTGAGCAGTGCCTGTGCAGCACCAAGGCGTTCGCTGCTTCTCACGCTGCCTGCCCCCCAGCAAGCAGGCTGGAGACTGGGAGGGGAAACAGCCAGGACAGCTGGCCCCAGCTGACCAAAGGGATGTTCTGTAACATACAGCATCGTCCTCAAGGTTAAAACTGGGGGTAGTTTTTCCAAGATAGCTGTTGCTCAAAGACTGGCTGGGCACTGGTCTGCTAGTGCGAGGTGGTGAGTGATCGCCTCTGCGTCACTTGGTGGTGATGTTTGTGGGTTTTTTCTTTTTCTTCATTTTATTTTCCATCCACTTATTAAATTGTCTTTATCTTGGCCCATGAGTTTTTACTCACTATCGTTCTTCTAATTCTCTCCTACATCCCACTGTGGAGGGTGGAGTGAGGAAGCGGCTGGTGGGTGCTTGGGTCAACCCATCACATCAAGCTACCAAGAATTAAATGCCCAACGTTCTGAATGGACTTCCGTCAAACAAACAAAAGTTGCCTTAGCTATTACTTAGTGTATTATTCAACTCACTGCTAAGTCCCATCTGGCTTCCACTGTGATCGGGATTCAAAGAAAGAAGACAAGGTCTACAAAGATTAAGACCACCTCCTATCCCATAGGCTAGCAGGTCCATCAGCTCCTCCTGGGTCCCCTTCTCACATGTCATTCAAGAAACATCCCTGTGAAGACTGTGCACCCTGTACTGTAATTCATAACAGGTCTTACAGGATTCTAAATATGCTACATGCTGGGAGTAAAACTAAACATCTGGATTTCCAATCTTTGCAGAGCTGATCATGGTATTAGTAAAAGAACAATTTAAGATATGCATGTAATGGAAGAGGGATTCAAAAACTAGGCTGTGTTTCTTGTCATAAAAGAAGTTTTGATTAACATTAAAGGCAGTTCTTGGTACATGTTTCCATCATAAGGAAAGTGAGTTTTTTTTTTTTACTGACAGCCTATAAAATATGTGCTGTCCTTCAATTGTCTAAAATATGCAAGTCTATATAATGCTACTTAAAGAATGTAGGAAATAAACTAAACAAAATAGCTACAGATCTCATTTTCAGCCTACAATTTATTCTCAAAGAAAATAAGGACAGGCTAACACTTGTTTTTTCTTAAAGGAGAAGGTCTTTTCTTAATTTTTCTAAGACATTATCTGTTTACTAAGAATTTATGTAGTAATCATTCCCTTTTCAATATGTCAACACTATGGTAAGGTTTATAGAGTTACATCTTGCAAAGTGAGTGTTGACATGCTGGAGGGAAGGGATGCCATCCAGAGGGACCTTGACAGGCTGGAGAGGTGGGCCTGTGAGAACCTCATGAAGTTCAACAAGGCCAAATGCAAGGTCCTGCACCTGGGTTGGGGCAATCCCAAGCACAAGCACAGGCTGGGCAGAGAATGGATTGAGAGTAGCCCTGAAGAAAAAGACTTGGTGGTTTCGGTTAATGAGAAGCTCAACATGAGCTGGCAACATGCCCTTGCAGCCCAGAAAGCCAACCGTACCCTGGGCTGCATCCAAAGAAGCGTGGCCAGCAGGTCGAGGGAGGTGATTCTGCCCCTCTGCTCTCATGAGACTCCACCTGCAATATTGTGTTCAGCTCTGACGCCCCCAACAAAAGAAGGACATGGACCTTTTGGACTGAGTCTAGAGGAGGGACACAAAGATGATCAGAGCGCTGGAGCACCTCTCCTAAGCAGACAGGTTGAGAGAGTAGGGGTTGTTCAGCCTGGAGAAGAGAAGGCTCCAGGGAGACCTAGCAGTCTTCCAGTACTTCAAGGGGGCCTAAAAGAAAGCTGGAGAGGGATTTTTTACAAGGGTATGTGGTGACAGGACACGGGGTAATGGATTTAAACTGAAAGGGGATAGATTTCAATTAGATCTAAGGAAGAAATTCTTCACTATGAAGGTGGTCAAGCACTGGAACAGGTTGCCCAGAGAAGTTGTGGACGCCCCATCCCTGGAAGTGTTCAAGGCCAGGCTGGGTGAAGCTTTGAGCAACCTGCTCTAGTGGAAGATGTCTCTGTGCATGGCAGAGGGTTTGGAACTAGATGATCTTGAAGGTCCCTTCCTATCACAACCATTCTATGATTCTATGATTTATTCTATCTGATGGCATTAAATAGTTGACAGCCCTCATCTTTATCTCTATCCTCAGATAACTAGTATGGGCACATTTCCACCCCTATGTGCTTTTTAACTGATAGAGATGTTAGACCTGGCTAGAATCCTAACTGTTCAGAACATGTGCTACCTTTTCAATTACGTACAGAAGAACAGAACCATAAGCAATATACTGTATTAACATATCAAATATAGAAGGGCAGATAAAGTTTTCTCTTTTTTTAAAAAAAAAACCACCAACTTTAGTAGATAGACATAATGTATTATATGGCATATTTCTGCTGTCCACAGAATGTGAATCTAACAACGCATGAAACATGACTTTAAAATTAATTCAACCTGCACTGGTATCAACAACAGACCAACCCTATGAAAATCAGTGATAGCTACAAATTCTGCACTAACAGTAGTGACCAGTGTAAAAGAAATAGAAGTAATTTTAAGGTTTTAAGTCCCCTACTGAAGGTTTGAAAGGGGACTAAGCTATATATTATTTGCAAAATTTAATCTTAAACGGCATAACGCTATAAACACCTATCTATTAAAGTGACAGCATAATGTATGAAACCTATGTGGGCTCATTTAAATAATGATTGTACTGCAGGCAGCAACACTGACCTAGCAAGGAACAGCGAAAATGCTAGAGCTGCCTTTCTAGCTCTAGTTTTTAATTCTTGAGCTTCACTGTTTATGCATCTACCTCTTTCACATTACAACAATCATCAAAGAGACTCTACATTCTGTAGACTTTGGAAAGGTGTGACAATAAATAACATCTAAAAAAATTCCACTCATACATTTGAAAAAAGGATTAGAATTGTTTTAGCTCTGAAACTACCTCCTACGTAGTAGTGTGACCATCCACAAATTCCAAGGAAAAAACACCTTATACCCAAAACTGAACTGCTGTACATTCTACACATGTATCTCCAGCAAAATATCACTATCTCTTAAGTTGAAACTTGTAGCTATGAAGCAAATAGCAAAGCAAGAAAGAAGAAGGGAAATTTTGGCAAGGTATAGGAAAATGAGCCTTTATGCTTACAAAAAGAACAACAAATTCTTAAATGCCACACAGGCGCTTCAGGACATCAAAATAAATATCAAAACTGGAAGACACTCAATTTACCTAAGGTCAGTGGATTTTGGTATTTTAGGAAGATTACCATTTCAAGCATACTGTTGGTGAAAAAGATTCACAGGGAAGTCATGAGAATTATACGAAGTCCAGCCTTGCAGAAACAGATTCAGAAAACTACTAAAAGAAGGGAGATATGTGGAAAGATTCACAGGGAAGTCATGAGAATTATACAAAGTCCAGCCTTACAGAAACAGATTCAGAAAACTATTAAAAGAAGGGAGATATGTGTCTTGATTTGGGTCCATAATTATCTACATGTGGGAAGACTTCTAACGATAGAAGACTCTTCAATTTAGCAGATCAGGCACAATAATGCAAAGTAACTATCAAGTTTAGGTTAAGTCAGAAAAGTAGTAAGACGTTTAAAAAGTCAACTGGTTAAGCATAGGAACAATTTTCCATTGCTTGCAGCTATTAAGTGAAAATACCTTTCTAAAAGGTCATTCTTGCTCAAACCCTAGTACAGGCTTAATACCAGAATGACTGTTGACATTACTGGTCAGTGATTAAAACTGATAACCACAGTGATTTTTCCTACAGTATAGAAAATCTATGGATGTCTTAGCACCCACTATACCATTTTCTGTAACAGTGAAGTCTGCAACAAACACAGAATTTACTCTTGATGCACCTCATGATTCTGCTCAAGATGGTCAAGATGGAAAGGAGGTGCAGGCAAACAGTGAAGTTTGGAAATCTTCCAAGTCTTACCTGCACTATTGAATGCTGCAGTAAACTACACAAGAAGAAGAAACTGGCATTAAGATTTCAGATAGCTGCAAACCTTATCAGTAGGTATCATGCATCTTTATGACGCAAACTTTAAGGGAATAAGTCTAGAAGTCTAAAATGACAGAAAGATTTACTTACACAAGGAAGCTACTGAAAAGCAAGTTGAAGTGAAAATTTTATCTCATAAAAACTATTTTATAGTAATAGTGTTTCTAGGGTGCAAACAGCAGGTTCTAGCAGGGCAACAGAGAACTGCACTTATCCCAGAAGCCAAGAGAGATCTGACCTATTCTTCACTCTCGGTCTTCTTACTAAGAAGAAAAGCTGAACAATGACAAACAGCTACAGCTATAATGCAGTCTAGAGGTATGTACACTGAGCCTTCCTACACAGCCGAAGCCAGAAGCTTCATCTGTCTGTGTTGCTTAGATGTTCTGTGGATGGCAATGGGGGAAAAAAACAGTATCTGGTTTGAGGAAGTGAGAAGTGGAAGCTGAAGAAGAAACTAGGCAGAACCAATGTCCAGAACAAAGGCAGGGGAATAAAGCAGTGGCAAGATTTGGATGGGACAATCTCCCAGTGAAGTGGGCAAGGGAAGTGAGAGGGCAGCGGAGCATTCACTGGAGAGCTGGCTGTGTGGCACAGGGGAGAGAACTCACACTGATGTTGGACCAGGATGAAGTGTTTCAGAAATAATACAGAGTCTCCAGGCTAATTCTGTTCAACCTTCAGGATGAGTTCTGCAATATGCACACACAAAGCATCCCTGTGGTAGGTTTCATGACTTTAAAAATCGACAGCAAACTGTGCTGTGAAATTTAAAAAACATACAAAATTTTGAAATCATGAGCAGATGAATGCTTTGAAATATAAAGTCAGTAACACTGAAAAATCCATTTGTTGCCAAGATAAAGAACTTTTTACCACTTCTCTGCATATACGACTTCAAGAAGTACTAAACATACAAAATTTTGAAATCATGAGCAGATGAATGCTTTGAAATATAAAGTCAGTAACACTGAAATCAATTTGTTGCCAAGATAAAGAACTTGTTACCACTTCTCTGCATATACAACTTCAAGAAGTACCTATTGGCAACACGCAAACAGTGAGGGAGATG